GGTGACTGTTGCGTGGCCACAGCGTCGTGGGGCTGCGTGTCCCAAAGCGCAGGAGGGGACCGCACCGCTGCAGACACCTCTGTCTTGCAGATTAAGACAAACTTTGAGAGCAACCTCAACCTGGCCTTGAGGGACTACAACGTGACCGCGGATCGGCATAGCGAGGCCGTCGACACCATCCAAAGAACCGTGAGTGCCCGAGGCTGGCGGTGGGTGGGGGTGCTCGCCTCGCCCTGGGGCATCCCCTGGGACCCCCTGTGGTATCAGCATCCCCGTGGCAATGCTGGGGTCCTTTTGCACCTTGGACTTTTGAGTTTGGGAGGAAGTGGTGGATGGGAGCCCAAATGGGGGTGGTTCCTGGAGAGGCGAGGGCAGGGGAGCCATGGGTGTGGGGTAGGACTGGGAGGTCTACCCTGGTGTGACTGTGCTCCCCAAATGTGCTTCCCTCTCCAGCTGCACTGCTGTGGGGTGCAGAACTACTCTGACTGGGAGAGGACCGAGTACTTTACCCAGAGGGGCATCCCCCGGAGCTGCTGCAAGAGCCAGGATGACTGCTCAGAGGAGGATCTGAAAGACCCAAGCAAAGCCAAGCTGAAAGTGTTTGTGGATGTAAGTTAAGCTCAGAAAAATCCCCCTGCCAGTCCTGAAGGTGGGGAGGGCAGACCTGGGTGGATTGAGAAGGGCTTGCCTTTCCCTGGGAGGCTTGAAAGGAGAACTGCTGTTTTGATGCAGATGCCCTGTGGCCCAGGGACTCCCCTGGGGTGGAGGTAAGGGAAAGGTATGGAGGAATGTGCCCTTCCTCATCCAAGGTCCCCTCCACTCCTTCCTTGGAGGACAGAGACTAGCCAGACCCAAGCATTTGTGCTGGGGGCTGTGTGTTTTGGAGAGCAGGTGAGTAAGGAGTAGTGCTGATGTCTCCTGACAGCTGTGCAAAGTCCCAACCCGGTGGTGAGTGCAGGTGACCTCATCCGGCAGGGACAGCCTGGTTGAGCAAGGGATGTTCCTCTGATGAGTCACCTTGCTCAACCCAACGCTCCTGCTCCTGTTGGGAACAGCCCAAGGGCAGCACTCCCCTTGATAACGCAGCTGGGCTGGGAGGCACGTAGGTGCAGTGCCGATAGGAAAATGATTTTGCTGAGCTCAGGCAAGACGGTGGCAGCCAGAAGCCTGCTGCCTGCATGGGAGCATCTTCCCCTGGAGCTGCTGGTGCTGGTTTGTGCTCCAGGGGGGGTGTGAAAAACACTGGACCCACGTGTGCTTGCTTTTCCTCCTCTGCAGGGCTGTTTTTTCCTGGTAACGTCAACAATGGAGTCAAAAATGAGCGTTGTGGCTGGAATCTCCTTTGGCATTGCCTGCTTCCAGGTAACTCTCCCTTGCTGGCTGGTACAGGAGGAGTGCAGAGCTTGTCTCCAGGGGTATTTAATTTCTGTGCAAAGTCTGGTGTGTGTACAAAAGGCACGGCCTGTTTCAGCCAGGGAGGAGCAGCTATTCTGCAGATTCCCCTTGGGTTTCATCTCAGCACTGTACAGTCTCCAGTCTCTTAAACCCAGGGCTGAAGCACCAGCTCTGTTTCCCTGAGCTCAGGTTATTTGAGAATAGCTCTTGTCTGAAACAACCGACTTTAAGAAACCCAGACGGAGCCCATGCTGTGCTGGGTGAACTCCCTGCATTTGCTGTTGGCAGGGATCAAATCACGCATTCCTTTTCCTACCCACCAACCTTCGTTTTTATCAGGGAGGTGTTTTGGCATCACTTTGGCGTGGCTCGGTCCCTGTGAGCACCCGTGGGGCACCACTTGTGCTGATGGCTCACGCCCCGCACGCTGCCTTACCCTGCGATTGCTTCCTCTGCCTCCCACTCCCCAACCTCTCCTTTGCTTTATCCTGTAGGACACTTCCTGCAGATGCCGCAGCCGTGGCGTACTTGCCAGCCCCTGCTCCTGCAGGCTTTATTCCGGCAGGAAGTGAGAGGCCCCTGCCCCCAGCTCCGCTACGCAGGGCGTTGGGCATGCTGACGCTGTGGTGGGCTTTCCCGAGGTGCCGAGGGTTTTCGGATGCACTGCAGCGGGAGCTGAAGGATGCGCAGCCGGCCCTTGTTTAGCTGGTTTCTGGAAGCTGGCTGGGCTTTGGGTGCTGAGCAGCTGCAGAGCGAGCTCGGCAAGGCGTTGACTTTAGAGAGACTGGAATTCACCCTCCCCTTGATCCAGCACGCGAGGCTGTGGTGTGAGGGGCTGCCCCCCGGGACTGCTGGCTGACCGTGCCAGCACAGGGAGGAGGAGGAGGAACCCCGCCAAGATATTTCTGCCGTAACGAGCACGTCGCCGTGTGTTTCCCGTAACGGATGCACTGAACTGGGGGAGAGGTGGGAGCCAACAGCCCCTGGCTGCAGTTGGTGCTACCAAGTGTTATCAGTTGTGGCCGGGAGAGCCTGAGAGCTGGAGCCGCTCTGCTGTGCCCAGCTGCTCGCCCCAGTCTCCTCCTCAGTTAGGCTGTGCTCTCCGTGGGGTCACCGAGACGTGACTGACACACCAATGGTGACCTGCACGCTCCCAGCTGCGCAGTTACCTGGGCTGATGCCTGGCTTGGGAATTGTAACCGTTTCCTGGCTTTTATCGCTCTTTCAGCAAGCCTGGCTGTGTCGTGCGGCCAGCAGGGACCCATCATGCAAATGTGCCTCTTACTTTGCTTGTGTAGATCAAACTCCTGCAGGATCTGGCCCTAAATGTCTGTGCAGGGGCTGGGAGGCCACGTTGTGATAACAGCATGTCCTTTGGATGCTGATGCGAAAACAGCAACCTTGCTTCCCCGCTGTCCTTGCAACAGGGAGAGGTGGCTGCTGTTCTCTAGTGGCTGTGTAATTGGCTGTGACGCTCCTGATATCTGTGTAGTCTCTGAAATTACCATAAACAGTAGATGCTTCATGAAGCAAACTGTAACAGAACAGGACATGGAGCATCTCTTGCGAGGAGCTTGTTTGGCTGATGCCTGCCAGGATCCTGCGCTTCAGCCTCTCTCAGTTACTCCAAACAGGGTTGTGTTATGGTTTGTAAATCCCACTGTTCATCTTTGGATTTTATAAGACTGATGCTCTGGAGCAATTTGTCAGGCTTTTCCCCTAAAACACTGCATCCTGGTTTTTGGCTACCTCTGATGTGTGGGGTTTTGTTTTTTCTTTTTCAGTTGGTTGGCATCATTCTCGCCTGCTGCCTGTCCCAGTACATCACAAACAATCAGTACGAGATGGTGTAGCTGGCCCCCAGCACGCTGTGACCGTGGCCGGGTACGTCTGTCCAGCGATGTAAGCTCAGTGGGCTGCCTCTGTATCCCTGGCTGCTGCCTGGTCGCCCCTGGGGACCTTCAGCACAGCAGCGGGTACCGCTTTTGGGGGCGTGTGGGGGTAGAGGGCAACTGCAACGCTGTGTCTGCTGCATCGTTTTAAGCTGTGTGTAAATCCAGCCTTGTCTGTTAACACTTTGTCTTGTGCGTTGCAGGGCATGCTCTCTGCGGCCGGGGGGGATGCAACCACCTCCAGTTTTCCTCTGGATGCGGCTTTGTGAAATCTTGCTTTGAACTGACTGATCTTCTTCTCAACTAGCTCATAGAAACGAGTGCAGCAGCTGTCCTGGTGCGCTCAGGGACTTGTCCTAACACTTCTCTGCTGTGCCACCACGTGGGATAATTAATGTAGCTGAGGTGGTTACAGCAAGCACGCTCCTCTGGGTGCTGCAGCTCCCGGCTCTTTCCTCGGCGGCACGCTCGAGAGCCGTGCCAAAGCCGACCGCGCTGGTGGCCTCGCGGGATTCCCAGTGCCCGTATTCGGTGCCTCCATCGGGAAAGCAATGCTTCCCCTGATCTCCAGCAGCCCCTCGGCATCCCCTTGTTCTCTGGACATGGTTGCTCTTGAGATGGGGCTGTTGCCCTGTTAAAACACCGCCCTGCGTGCCTGAAGCCCTTGGCTCAGCAAGGTCTCTGCTTGTTGCCAGGCTCTTTCTCATCCCTGCTCTGGGTTTTATATACTTTTTTATAGTTGTACTTTTTGAAGTACAGACTGTAGCGATTCTTTGTAAGCTGTAGCAAGGTTTGGTGATGTAGCTTCTGGTGCCTTTACCTTGGTAGGTGTCCTTGCACCGAGTCAGCTGTGACTTGATTGTCAGTATTATATGCTGCTTTAACTCGTTTTGTGTATTGAGTAGAACTCTTTTGTCCTGACACACAATAAATATTAAGATATTTTACTCTATGAAATATCCTTGGCTTTTCTTTTCATCTCCTGGAAATTCCTCTGCTTGAGTCACCGCAAAGAGCATCAACCACCCCCCTGGGACGTAATCTGCTCACCCCGGGCCAGCTGGTAAGCTCTGGACCATCGCAGCTCTTGTTTCTCCAATGCTCACCGGTATGCTTGCGCTTACAAATACCTTCTGTAATTGAATTTTCTTCATAACAGCGATTGTGTAACAGTGCTGAAGCAGAAGGCCTGGAGCATCCCAGCCCAGGAGCTGGGCAGATGAGTTCAGCCCCGTGCAAACATGTGCATCCTGCTGGCCAGCTGCTCGTTCGGAGCAAAGGGCAGGGCAGTGCCGCTGGAGCTGCCTGCGTCCCCAGCCTCTCCCTGGGGCAAGAAATGTGGATTTAAGCTTTTGTGTTCATTTGGTACTGCTCATCTTTGGGCTGTTTGGTCAGCAAACCTTTGCCTTGCTGAGTGTGATGCTGCAGTGGTGAGGTGAAGCTCCCCTCCTGCCGAGCTTGGGGGATTTTTGGGTCTTGAGCACCGAAGTAGCACGGGCTGTGGCTTGGGGCACGCCTGCCGGTCCTGCTCCGGGGAGGCGGCAGGTGTAACAGCAGGGGTTAAGCTGCAGGTAGGAGTGGTGGCCCTCTGTCAGCGTCAGCCCTCTGGCAAATGCTGCTCTGGTGCCGGGTGAGCTGTCCCAACCAAACTGCCCCGTGGTGCAACAAATGGCCAGGTACAGGGCAGCCTTGCTGCTGACAGGAACCCAAAGGGGAACACCTGAAATCCTTACGTTGCGTCTAACCTGGGTGAGTAAATGAGGCTGTTGTCAGTGCATGGCTGGTTGAAAGCCTCCCGGGTCAGGACGGCGAGGCAGAGTGCGTCAGAGCATGGAAACCGGGGTGGAGCGATGACTGACTGTAATTAATGGACAGATGGAGACAGGGCAGGAATTACATGAGCAGCAAGGCCAGGTTTGGAAAAACCCATCCTGACCAGAAAGCCCGTGCAGAGGGAAGCGACCCTGCGCTGCCTCTGCCTATGCAGGCAGCTTCCTTCCCGGGGCAGGTGGCAGAGGTGATGCTGGCCAGGGACGGTGTGGGCAGAGGGTGGCACGGGGAGCCTGGAGGTTTCCGAGCTGATGCAGGAGAACCAACGCTGACTGTTTGTCTGTCCCATCCTGAGGAGCAAGGAGGCTTGCCCAGCCTGCTCCTCCCCACGGCCAGCAACAGGCACAGTGCCCATCAGAGGGTGCAGATCTTACCTAGTTAGATAGTGCTCCAGTGGACACGTTTGGAGAGACATCAGCAATGTTCCAGAGGTACAGGTGTGTGTTGGGGGAGTTGCCAGGTGGACTTGGGCCATTGCTGTCCTGGCAAAGGCGTTGGAGGCACCTTGGTGACCCAGTTGGACACACCGAGCCAGGACACCAGCACCGCTGGCTGGCCCCAGGACTCCGGCTTCCTGCAGCGGCTGTGGCTGGGTGCGTTTCACTCGTCCCTGCCATGTTGGGACATCCCCTCTCAGGGGGATAAATGTCTCGGGGGACTTGTCAGAAATGGCTGGTTGTTGTCCCTCAGGATGCTGTGCGAGGAGCTCTGCTGTGCTCCTGGCGGCTCCCAGCGTTTTAACCACGTTGTCAGCTCAGCCGCGAACAGGGACGGAGGGAACGGCTCTCAGAACATGCTCGTGTCCCCACTGGAGCAGCAGGGATGCGGGGAGAGTCCGGCAGCCCTGGGGACACCCTGGCCGGCACCCGGCACGGTGGTGGTGAGCAGAGCCCGACCCCCTGCTCCCTCCTCTGTACGCACAGCTGGGCAGGCTCGCCTCTGTCCGGGTGTTTTCCTGGAAAGCCCCAGCTGTGGCAGCGCGTCACCCTTGGTGACATCAAGGGGGTTTTGCCCGGTGACACCCGTGGGATGTCAAAGCTGCTTGGCAGCACCCCGCTGCCTGGGATGAGAGCCGGAACCTGGGATCAGGCCTGAGCCCCCCGGCCGCGAGCAGAGGAAGGCTGTGCGGGGGGTGCACCGGGATTTGGGCCGTTAGCCCTCAGCGCTGCTGCAGGCAGTGCAGGGCGGCTGCAGTGTCAAGGACTTTTTTTGCCTCCTACAGCATGGGTTTTGCCTGTTTGTTGGTCACAGGTCTGGGTACAGCTGATGGCACTTGGAGCCCTCCATGCTGCTGCTCCCTCTGGCTTTGTCTGCCCGGTTCCCCAGGGGCTCCTTGAGACCACTCCTGCCCCTGCCTTGCCTGCATGCTGCCATGCTGCGCGTCACTCCCGGAGGGACTGGTGCCACCCCTGAGCCATCACTAGTAACTACAGAACACGTCAGAGCATGCTGGAGCAGAAGGTCGGGACGTGCTGAACAACTACTAATGCCGTCAGGGAGCAAATTAGGGACCTCCACACGTTCCCAGTGAGGCAAGCACCGACAGTCCCGATACCTGAGTTATGGATGCTCGTGACGAAGCAGCTGAGCAATTAGATCACTTCTCAGACCCATTAAGCATCACAGACTGAGACGAAACGACTTTCCATTTTCTTTGCAATCGCTCATACAAGACGTTTATTGTTTGCCTCTTGCCACTCAGCGTGGCAACGATGCACTGGAGCATGGCCTCCCCCAGCCCCACGGGAGGAGCACAGGGTGCGGGGAGGGGACAGGCGGTGCCTGCTCGGTGAGGGTGCCGCGGCCGGTGGGCTTGCACGCTCACCGGCAATCAAGCAGCTAATGACCTGCGCGTCGGCCGCGTCATCCAGATGGATGGCGATGCGGCAGGCGGGCATAGGGCAGCACCCAAGTGCTGGGTACTACATGGTGGGTGCTACACTCTGCCCAGCATCCGTGCAATCCACCAGTTGCAGGGCATGATGATCCGGCAGATGACCCTCCCGCCCTGGTAGCAGTAGGGGTAGGGGTAGTAGCCCAGGAGGGGCTCGCAGACCCTCCGGCAGTAGCGGGT